CGGGCTCAAGCTCCGCGACACTGAAGAGGCCGAGAAGGCCCGCGCTTTTTCACCAGGTTGGCGGAGTACCGCTTCCTTGCATGTCACCCCACGCTTGAGATCTAGCTTCGACAGCCAGCGTGATGCACGGCCTGAGAACGCGGTTTGCAGGCGCTGCGATGCTTTCCTTCTCGGTGCTGCTGCATGGCCTTGCTGGCCTGGCAGCAGCAGGCAGATGCTAATCTAGATGCAGCGTAAAGAGTGCAGTGTAGCTCTGCAACCAACATGCCAGAGCACTGCAGGATCCATCCATCAGCGCACCTCCAAAGCCCTGACAGCGGGCAGTTTCCTGAAGCCCGTGGAGTTCGAACACACGCTGCGGGTACTTTGGCTGCAACTTAAGTTAAACACGTGGCGGGGAGGGCTCGTGCTACAGACCTCCCTGAAGGAGCCAGATAGGCGAAGCTGATGCACAGCTGATGCACTCAGAGTGCGCAGGAGCGCATGCAGGCCTCGCTGAGCAGCCGAGGTGTGCAATGCGTATCCTGGTGACGAGCAGTTTCACGTGGAGATGGGTGGTGACAGCATCATGACAGGTTCGCCCGTGGCCTACAAGGAGACTTTCTTGCTGGAGCTGTTGCCCAGAGAGCTCCCATACCTGGTCCCCAAATCCTTTGATATTCTGATGTGGTGATGAAGTTTGATGATGTTGCAGTTGTCGCCCAGCAGAGTGCTGCTTGCGAAGGAGTGCCAGCAGATGAACCTGACGAAGCCGCTGATGCCTGGAGATCGATTGGACTTCCGCGCGGACATGCAGGGCTGGGAAACTACGAAGGGCGATCTTCGCTTCCGCTATCTTCCGGTTAGGAAAGGATTGTGGCATATCGCGCTGCCTCACTGCCAGGACAAGGTGCCAGCAGCTTCCTTCACCGTCTACTCCCTGCCAAAGCACCCTGCCCGCAGGGGGCATGCCCGTGGCGACAGAATCAGAGCAAGAAATGATTGTAGCGGTGGCGGCAAACTTGGCAAAACCCGCGCCACCAGTGTTATGTAGAAATCATCCTATCCGCTTTTACTTGAAGGTTCATGTCCAGTGCGGGAGGCCTACTACTCGCCGTAGACCACCATAAGCAGTGAAAGGGGCTAGCGTGCAACATCGCTGTGTCAAAAGCATGAGACGCGCGAGACAAGGTACAATGCGGTCATGTATGTCGTAGACACTTGGTGGCATCTTGAGTGCTTGGACCCTGCCTCGTTTAGAGAACGCTTGATCTGGAGCAGATTCCGATCTGTGTGCTCTGTGAAATCATGTGAGCATGTCCATGACTTGTGGTTTGCTTGCTGGATGGGGACAGCTGCTGAGACTGCTAAGAAGGACAGCTGCGATGGCTAAGAAGCCGGCCTCTGGTTTTGGCATTGCTGGCCTCAGGTCCATCGCCAGGGTGCCTCAACCGACGCCGTGTCTTTCCAGTCGCACATGTTCGCCACCGCGAAGACCCCGCCCCAGCTTGTCGCAAAGCTTGTGATAAGAGCTGCAGCCCATCAATCGCCATGCTTGTGCTGAAGCTCGGACTGCAGGAACGCCCAGGTGGCGGTTCTGGACACCTACACGGGTGAAGCCAAAGCAGCGCTGCTCTTGGCCAATTCTACAGGCGCAAGATGCGGGGTAAAGATTCGTTTAGCGCGAATCTACGGTCACGTGCTGGATCCCGAGCAGGACAGTGGGAGGGCACCGTTCTCCCCTTTGGCACGGCGTTCGGCGTCCCTGACGGCACCTACCAGGTCTCAAGGTTGCACAGCATGGCCCTGCCGAATGAAACTGTTCTCACCCCAAATTTCGCAGATCATTCTCAGCGATGGCAGCGCGGAGTCAAAGATCCGCGCTCCCTTCACCGCCGTCAAGGGCGAAAGCCTCTTAGACTACACAAGACCAGGAAGGGAGACCGCCAAATGGCACAGCTTTGGCAGTCTGAGTTTGGCTGTCTTAAGGTTATATTGTGCTGCGCACTGGTTTGACGGAGAACTCAGTGAACAAGTCCAGCACCTTGGTTTGCAGCCTATGAACACCATGAAATGGTTGACGGCAAATCTCACGGTTGAGATGCTAAAGGGACGCCAACGCTAAGATCTAGAAGTGATTCACGAGTATTGTTTACAAAGGCGACCCGGCTACACGCAACTCGTCGGTCCCCCAAGCTCAAGACGTATCCTTCTGAGCTTGCACAGGCCCCCAAACACGAAACATCCAAAAGTGGCGATCCTTCCACGGCCGCATTTGCGTATCCTAACACAAGCAGCAACCACAACCACAGCGACGAGCACGACCACCATGACCACCACGGCCATGACCGCCATGACAACCGCCGCCGCCACCAGCACCGCCACAGCAACAGCCGCAGCCGCAGCCACAGCAACAACAGCAGCAGCAACAGCAATATCGACAACTGCAGCAGCAGCACCAACAACAACAAAACAAAAAACGGTGCACCAAGGACAACAAAACAAAAAACTGCGCGGCAACCGCAGCTGCAGCAGCAGCAACAGCAGCTGTAGCGACAGGAGGAGCAGCATCAGCAGGCAGTGACCTTACTGCTGGAAGCCGAAATGTAAGCCAGAGGTATATTATAACAATACTGCCGCATCAGGACGTACGGCATCAGCAGCACTTGCAACAGGAGCTGCAACTGCAGATGCTGCTGCGGCTTCCACTGCTGTTTTTCTTCGTCCTACGTCTTTCCCCCTCCAGCTTCAAATCCGTCCAGGTCTTCTCAAAGTACTCCCACTGCTGCTGTTGCCGCTGCCCCTACTGCCGTCGTGCAATCATATGGCTGTGAATCGCACACTGGGTTTGTAACAGGCTTGGACGGCCAATCCGCGACATAAGTTTGTAACAGAATCTCCTGGCTTGCGACAAGCTCCTTTGCAACAATGTTCTTTTGTGGGGCATACAGTTGTTGCAGTTGTCGTCGTCGTGGTCGTCGTGGTCGTCGTGGTCGTCGTGGTCGTCGTGGTCGTCGTGGTCGTGGTCGTCGTGGTCGTCGTGGTCGTCGTGGTCGTCGTGGTCGTCGTGGTGGTAGTGGTGGTGGTCGTGGCG